ACATTTACAAAAAGCAGTCATTATCAACACATGCCATATTGTTCGTAAATTTCTAAACATAACACAAGATACTACATACAGAAATGATCCACAACGTATACATGTAAACAACAGCACTCCCTCACAACACGGTACACAACATACACAAATATCTCCACCTCTAACCCAAACAAACACACAAATACAACTTACCGAACAAACAAGTACAACAAATGATACAACATTATACTACAATCAGAGATTCACCTCTGAAGCAAACCACATTATCGCGACCCATTAGTATTCAACCCAAACGCAAAAACCTAAACAGCACTTTAGACTCACAACATGACACACAACATACTGTAATATCTCCACCCTTAACTCAACCAACCACACAAACACAACTTCCTGAACAAACAAACGCAATAAATACAAGTAACGCAACATGCACTACAAAGACGCCCTCACCCAATAAAGTTACACGGCCTAGCACAGCTAAAAAACACAATACTCTTTCCTCTCAGAAACACACCTCGTTATCACAACCCACTCGTACTCAACGCAAACGCAGCAACCTTAACAGCACTAGAGGCTCACAAAATACCGTAATGTCTCCACCAATAATGCGAGCAACAACACAAACACAACCTCTAGAACAAAGAAACACCATAAATACAAGTAACGCAACTTGCACTACAAAGACAGGTCCACCCAATAAAGTTACACGTCCTAGCACAGTTAAAAAACACAAAACTCCTTCTTCACATAAACACACCACGTTATCACAACCCACTCGTATTCAACCGAAACGCGAAAACCTTAACAGAACTACACGCTCACAACATACTGTAATATCTCCATCAAAAACCCAAGCAACAACACAAATACAACCTCAAGAACAAAGAAACACCATAAATACAAGTAACGCAACATGCACTACAAAGACAGGTCCACCCAATAAAGTTACACGTCCTAGCACAGTTAAAAAACGCAATACTCCTTCTTCTCAGAAACAACCCACTCGTATGCAACCCAAACGCAAAAACCTTGACAGCACTACTAGCTCACAAAATACTGCAATATCTCCACCAAAAACCCAAGCAACCACACAAATACAACCTCAAGAACAAAGAAACACCACAAATACAAGTAACACAACTTGCACTACAAAGACAGGTCCACCCAATAAAGTTACACGTCCTAGCACAATTAAAAAACACAAAACTCCTTCTTCACAGAAACACACCACATTATCACAACCAACTCGGATTCAACCGAAACGTGAAAACCTTAACAGAACTACATGCTCACAACATACTGTAATACCCCCACCAAAAACCCAAGCAACCACACAAATACAACGTCAAGAACAAAGAAACACCATAAATACAAGTAACGCAACATGCACTACAAAAACAGGTCCACCCAATAAAGTTACACGCCCTAGCACACTTAAAAAACACATAACTCCTTCTTCACAGAAACACACCACATTGTCACAACCCACTCGTATACAACCGAAGCGCAAAAACCTTAACAGCACCACAGGCTCACAAAATACTGCAATATCTCCACCAAAAACCCAAACAACCTCACAAATACGACCTCAGGAACAAAGAAACACCATAAATACAATTAAAAAACACAAAACTCCTTTTCACATAAACACACCACGTTATCACAACCCACTCGTATTCAACCCAAACGCAAAGCCAAAGAAACACTTACACAATAAACTCTATTTAATAAAATTACAGGAATTATTATAATGATATTTTTGTTTTGTTTTCTTCTTTCCTGATAGCGTTGACTATTGTGGCCATTAATAGCTATGTTGGTAAGTATGAATTACATACTATCCCTAGATTTCCAATGTGAGTGTGTGAATATTTATTTTATTTTTTATTTTTCTTTAGAACCCTACATAACTTCACCAGACACAGACACTAATCGTTACTTGATTTAATCCGTGCGATTAGTTAACCAGGCTAGACCTGAGTTCTCACAAGAAACACCGACCATAATAATAATAATAATAATAATAATAATAATAATAATAAATGTCTTTAATAAGTACGTAGGTTAAATTACATAGAAATGTGTACAAAGGGCGAGATTCAGTAATGGAATGAAACATACATACCATTTCTGCTCTTCCATCTAACCCATGTGATTCCGTTCATTAACAGAAAATACAAAAAAAAATAAAAATAATATATCTAGCAAAAAAAAACCTCAAATTAAATTGTAAAATATCATTGAGAAGAAGATTGTTCGTGCAATAACCTCGACATGGTAGCTAATCTAAATGTTTTGTAAGGCATGCTTTTGATATCCATAGCTAGGGAATTATACCATTTGCTGATGTTGTAGGTAAAAGATCTTTCATACATAGCTGTGGCGTGCGAGGGAGGTGTAAGCAAACCTTTGTTTCTCAAATTTAGCGTATGTACATCAGTTTTGTATTTTAATTTGCGGTATAAATAGGTGGGTTGATTATTAACTAAAATTTTATAATACGTGCTAGCAGCATGTCCAGCTCTTCTATTATGCATATTTAACCATTTTAGATCGATCAACTTGTGACTTACATGATCATATTTCCTCATTCCGAAAATCAATCTCACACAACTATTTTGTACTTTCTGCACACGTTTGTTATCAAAACTAGTTAAACAAGGACCATATACTACATCCGCGTGGTCAAATTGTGACAAAACCAAAGAGGAGCAGAGAAGCACACGAGTAGACCAATCCAAGCAATTCCGCATATGATATATCGTTTTAAGCGACGCATAAGATTTTCTAAGACAAGATGAGATGTGTGGTGTAAATCTTAGAGCGGAGTCAATATCAACACCAAGATTCCTAACCGTGTCAGCTAGTGGTATCAGAGTCCCACAACAAGTTACCTTGATGTCATTCAAAGACTTGAGTCGATCGGTTTTTTTACCAAACAATATCGCCATGCATTTGGTTGGATTTAACTGTAGACAGTGCTTAATGGAAAACTATTCAATGTTATACAAGTCATAATTGATAGCCGCTATTGCTTGTTGAACTTCGGTTGGATAGAAGGATAAATACAATTGAGTGTCATCTGCATAGCAGTGTAATGTAGACGAGGAGGAATATAAGTGCATTTGAGAAACATATATACAAAACAACATAGGGCCTAGTACGGACCCCTGCGGGACTCCATTTAGTACGGTTTGGTAGGAGGACAATTGATTTTCATATTTCACAGCTTGCGTCCTGAACGATAGGTAATTGTTAAGCATTTGTACGGATATATCTGACATCCCGATGTACCTTAGTATTGAAACGAGGAGTTGGTGGTTCAGCATATCGAATGCCTTGGTAAAGTCTAATAGCACCAAAAGTGACAACTTGCCGAGATCACTAGCCGTTAATATGTCTTCAGTTATCTTTAACAGCGCAGTAGTGCAGCTGTGGTTAGGTCTAAAGCCAGATTGGCACTCCGGAAGTATATTATATTTTGATATATGTTCTTGAAACTGAGTAAGCATAATTTTTTCCAGCACCTTGGAAAGTACGGGCAAAACACTAATGGGACGAATATGTTTAAAGTCAGTCACCTCAGAGGTTTTGCGTATAGGGACAACAATTGTTGGTTTCCAGGATGAAGGAAATACCCCATTACGCATGCAGTAGTTGTAGATGTGCGTTAAATATGGTAACAAAAAAGGAAGACATAAACGAATAGTTAAAATATTACACCTGTTATTATTGTAAAATAGCAATAAATCCTTATCAGGTTGTAATGAAGCAGTGGACTGCAGAAAGTGATTATTCAGAGCTTCCACATCAGTAAAATGATCCGGCAAGATGACATTATTATTGGACCAAATATTAAGTTTTCTGATTTCTTGCCACATCTTCCTGCTATCGGAAGCACTTAGCACTGTTTTGTAATAAGCCTTTTTTTCCTTAGCAATAGCAGAATTGACAATGTTTCGTAGTAGCTTGTAAGACACCCAGTCTACCTCCAGTTTACAACGTTTATAGCGAGATAGTGCATTGTCTCTAGTTCTCATCATTTCCCGAATGCATGGCGTTAACCAAGGAGCAAACTTTTTGGTAATGCGATAGGTCCTGAATGGAGCAAACACATTTAAAAGAATTACTCACTTGTTTGATTAGAAACTCACTTCCACTCAAATCACAGAAAAGAAGGGGAAGCTTTTCAATAGCCCTGATTTGAATTTGGATTTGATGGTTTTTGTTACTAAAGTTTTTATTTAAATTTCATTCTCCCCATTTCTTGCGTATTATTTATGCTGGCCGATACTTAGAGCGACTTACACGGTAATGTACCATGGGTTTCACTTATAGTTTTGATTTTTGGTATTGAGTTGCGCCGTCGCGTCGCTTCTCGGCGAGACCTGGGATATTATACACTTTTGTGTGTACTGTCTCCTATTTGTTGGTTTCACAACACAACGTAAAATAGTGAACACATATTATACTTGTAGCATTTTTGGTAAAATCACCTAATAAATAAGGATAACAGGAAATTTGCTGGTAAGACCTTCAGCGCCTTTAATTGGAAAATGGTACCTTAGTAACCGCTTATTCTCATAATAAACTAGTGGTGACAGCTTAATTTACAATCTAGAACGTCGGTATAAACATTTGTGCTGTTTATTTAGGCCATGCTTGAACAAGTTGTCTCCACAGCTGGAAAAAACAGTCATACATTATTTAATATTAACAACCCCAAATCTTATCAAATTTTTGAACTTTATCAACATCGGATAGATAACCTCGGTGAACATTAGTAGCCATGGAACTTAACTGTCAATTAAGATTAACTCAAACATGAAAAACTGGCCTTAATCTGTTTCTATGGTGATTGGTGGCAATGTTTGCAAAAGTACCTATACGCTCGGAAATGAGACATTCGACTAATATTTGATAGTCTGTTAACCGCACATCCTCTAAATATGGAAAAACCGCCGAGCAGGTGAATATCTTAAAGCAAATAAGATAAGGATGTCACAAACTATCTCAAACTGTTGACGACCCTGTGCTGCTAATAAAAGCAGAGTCTTCTTGCCATTCCACGCATTAGTTAACATGGCGACCAGGGTTATCATTTTTCTTTGCACATACGCGGTAGCAGTACTAACACAAAGTGTCTATTTTCAACCTTCTGGTAAGTTCCCATCTTGACAATGCGACGGACTATACGACCGAAACATCTTAGGATATTATTGGAGAGAATTTTCAAACGGACAGATCCCATCCGATGCAGTTGCCGGAGGTAGAGATAGAGCTGGTAACCCAACTTATATCGGACAAGTTTACGGACTAGATCTTGAGCTATTACCCGCCACTATAATACGCGGTTCGCCAAATGCCACCAGTACCAGGCACGTTTCTGCCATACAAACTGATAAAAATATTAAGGTAAGTTATACGATACCAAAAACACCTTTGGGGGTAACATATTTCGCCTATTCATAGATACTATGCAGTAATGAACAACATAAGTTTAGATGGATTCCAACAACAGTAGGAGAGACATACAAATTGGCTAACTGTCACTTAGTCAATGGCGGTTCCGAAGTTAATTATTTTCTGCACATTGGACGTGTATATTATCAATCTGAAGTGATTATTGGAAAGGTTAATACTGATAGACCACAGGCTCAAGGTTTAGCCATACCATATAATGGGCTTCCGGTAATTTTTGTGTCTTATCAAATTTTAGCGTTTGACTGTCAGGGTTTGTGAATTGAAATATACTTACATAAGTAGTGCTTTTGGCTCAAAAAGTTGCTTTGTCGCATAAAACTATGTCAATATTTGATTATATTAGTTAAACTAGAGTTTAATTAGATAGCAGTTACGATTAGTATTCTAAAATATAATTACGTCAATGTCCATTTGGCTATTACTCCAGTAGAATAATATTAAGTAATTCGTTAAATGCAATCATTTAGTCCTCAGACGAAAAGGTTATCTAACGATACCCCTAAAACTTTAGACTTCATTTGACTTATTTTCTTAAAGGGAAAGGTTACACGTCACCCTTAAAATGTGAATGTGAATGAAATAGATTATCATTGAGTTAATTGTTTAAGGGCAGAAGTTAGTTAGCAATATCTTTTAACTTTATTTCTGTATCAATTATGGGATGTAACATTTAACCCTAGGATAGCTTAAGGTAGTCATAAATAGGAATGCATGGGAAACAAAATACAAGTACTACTATAGACTTCGGTCTGGTAACTACTCATAGCATCGTAATATTATTCTAAGCTTAATTCTTGTTCAATTCATGTGATTGTGAAATAATAATAAAAAAAGTTATTTTAAGTTTAATTTTTTGTTCCCCAAACGTAATTATATTTAAACATATAATACTTGAGAGGTACATTTTTTTCAATTTGAAAGAAAATGTGAAGGACGTGTACGTTGTTATCAACTGTATTTGTGAACTAATACGGATCTGATAATAAAATAAATGGGAGATGGCAAAATTCGTTCCGAAAGCTTAAAATTGAGAAACGTCACACCATTTTGTTGTGGAGCTTATGGTGAACATGATCCATCGCTATATACCTACGTATAAAGGATGGTTTCGGTGTTTTGAAACTGTATATGGCAAAAGGAATACGGAAAACCACCAAAAAGGTGGAATTAAAGACAACTTCTAGAACGATTGAGCTTTAGCCAACAAGCCGTTTCCACAGAATCAGAGGTAAATCATCAATCAATGTGTTGGAAGCTCATTTGAGAAGATCCATCCATGGTGCTTACTCATCAAAATTTTCTCATTTCCAGCGTTCCGATATACGAAATAGTAAAAGAATGGCTCGATGAAAGGCTGTGACAGAAGAAGAAGGTCGTTACCGGCGTAGATCCATAAATCGGCCAACAAATGGGAAAGATGTGTAGCTGGCAACAGAGCACGCATTCAACAAAGTACACACAAAAACCCTAACTAGGGAACACTTCATCATCATAGCGTTGATGGATATATTTCAACCTGAAGATCAGATTCGTAGTTAACTATGGTCACTCTGGAAATAATAAAGTTGGTGCCTCATTTTGACGATTTTTACGTGGATTTATGAAACATACATTCATAAATAGTGAAGAGGATGCTTTTCAATATTTTATGTCTAGAACAGATTTTGTAGTAGGTAATTGTGTGTATCTATGGCAACTTACAATTTTTTCGATTAAGAGGAAGACAGAAAGACAGAAACAGAGAATTATTTATTTATTGTCCCTCTTGTTCTGGGCCTTCAACCGGCTTGCACCCAATTATAGAGTGACTCGCACAATTAGAAAATGACCAATTATGCATCTCTAAAGCGTCAAGCAGAACAATAAATAAATATAGGTGTTGTACCTATATGTATAATGAATATTCACAGGGTCCAATGTTATGTAGTTGACCATCCAGTGGCCTGTAAGGATACCGGTGATATTTCTAATCTGGTCTCGAGATGGTCCAGGATTCTAAAATTTCCATCTTCAATATTTTTAATAAAAGAAACACTGCAAGAAATTACAGAATTACGAGTTACATATTACTTGCATATAACCGTGAAACCACTATTGTAAAAGATCTCTGGTGACAACTTTAATTCAAAGATTGTACTTTTAATGACATTTAGTAAAATTCGGCTTACGAAAAATCAATCAGAAAGAACACATTCTCCAGGATGAACACCTGAACGACTAGGGTCTTTTGTTGTAGGGATCACTAAGGTTTTAAGGGGTTCATGTCTCAATACTGTACAATTTATTACCTAGTAGGTATACAGATATCGTATATGTACATACTTATATTATATTAACAATAAATTAGGTGTCAAAAATTTCAACTAAAATTTGATTTCACCAACAACACCTATTTGGCCTTGTGGTTTCATTCCTTGACCCGCAACACCCTGCACCCCAAGGTTAATTCCACCTTGCGGAGTAGAAAGTAGTGGCACTGAAGCTCCGAGGGATCCTTGAATGGGACCGCTACCAACCTTACTAGCTCCTATATGCGCGGTGGCGCCCCCTACGTGCTTATAATTTGCACCAATTTCATTTATCGCTGGTCCCACGGGCTTCAAATCTCTGTTCAAGAAACGATCGTGGTGACCTTGTACATCCAGTCTATGCGTAGGTGTATCGAAGATATTGACCTTTCCATATAATGAGCTCGTGCCGCCAACTCCCGGTTGTACAGATGCTCGTGCTCCGGCAAATCCATCGTTTGGTAACTTGAAGTGTGCACCGCCACCAACATCCACCGGACCTAGTCTTCGCCCATCGTAACTACTTGATACCGAACCCCATGCCGGACCATACTTGTAACCGCCCATTCCACCGATTCCACCACTCGGTAAGAAACCACCACCTCCAAAAAATTGGGCCATACTTTGCGAAACAAGTGCAACCACCAAAAATAAACTGAAAACGTGTTTAACCATCGTTTGTTATTTTCTTTTGCAATCAACCTCTATGAGATGCTGGTGTATGTACTGATGAATGTTCGCAATGATCGCACTTATTTATATGCGAACATTAAGTTGGTGATTCCCACCAGGGAATCCTAGCTAAAGGGTTTTTAGGTACTATACAAAATTATTGTTGCACTAAAGATTGTGAAACGACCTTTAACATTTTGTGGTTTTATATCTTGACGTAATGTTATCTCCAGGATTTTTTCTACAAATAACCTTAACGATTTTACACCAAAGGAGATTTTAGAGTATGTGTCGGAAAAGCCGATGGCGATTTTGATTGCAACAATTGTATCATGTATGTGCCCAAAAAGAGACAAAGAACTGGAAACTAAATACCCAAATAATGGCTAAGCTAAGACTTTAATGGTGGCTCTTCAATTTTGACTTATCACTAGAGTTTCGTCCTATTCAAATATTACCTTTTTGCGCGATCGGTCATTTCTGACTATTTACCATGGGTGTTTCCATGACAGTACGTAGAATTTACCAGTTGCTATGATTACGACGACGCCAAAATTACTTACCGATCTAAAAACAGAACAGCAAAAATACTTACCAGACGCCTTTTTAAAAATCAACAGTCTTACATTACATTTAATCTTTAATTATTGTTAGGTACATTAAACGTACAATTTGTGCTGTTGTTTCCTATAGCAAGACGCTCATAAAGTCATAAAGGATTTGCAAAGCTAGTAAACTACATCAGACACATGCACATTTTTATGAAATTATTAATTTCAATTTTGACAAATAAACTGGTTATCTAGTGATGTACACCATACCACTTCGATCATTTCGATTTATTCTGCTCGTTAATTTCTTAGTGCAGTGTTTCCCAAATGTCACGAAATTGCGGACCCCCAAAATTAGACACTAGTATCATGAGGACCCCCAGAAACAGTTTCAATAAAAAATAAAGCAACTATTGCATTTTTTAAATATGTCATTTGTAAATAATAATTAATAGAAAATTTATGAATAATAAAAAATAAAAGAAAATATAATCAATACATTATAAAACTTACAAATTTAACAGTTTCAGATTTTAATGAGAAGAATGGAACACTGGTTTTTACTGCCTAATTTTTTGTAAATCAGGTCTAATATTTGAAATTTTTAACCTTATATCTGAAGCAACATCCAGTAGATTTCTTTGTTTTGATTTTAAAAGAACGTATACAGAGAAAGCCTGTTCACATAAATACGTCGTGCAAAAAGGACTCAAATGTTTCATAGCCTTTTCGGATAGCTCGTTGTAATCAGAATTAACTTTAATCCAAAACTGAATTAAATTGTTGTCGTTAAAAATATCTTTTTTAGAACTGCTACAAGACAGGTCGACGAGCTGATCTTGTTGTTTTTCTGTAAGACTAGCGTTTTCTTCAATTCTGGAGGTAGCGAACGGATTTCTAATCCAGCAGTTTTCATTATTTGGCGCCGGAAAATATTCACGAAAACTTATAACTATATTCCGCAAATGCTCATAAGTTATAAGTTGAACCTCTTGTGGCAAAATTTCTTCTTCGGATTTCAAAAACGAATCTAAAGGCGGAAATGTAGGTACTTAAAGATGATTGTTCCACACGGTTGGCCCAAATTTTTGTATGGTGGCTTCTATTTTTTCTTCAGTCTTAAAAACATTTATACTTTTGCCCTGTAATTGTAGATTCAATCCATTTAAAAAAGCAAAAATATCGTGCGTTCGGACGGTTCGTGGACCCCCGAAAAACATATCGCGGACCCCCGGGGGTCCGCGGACCACTATTTGGGAAACACTGTCTTAGTGCATATTGATATTGGTTGCATAATTTTAATTTCGGTCGCGCAAAAAATGTTATAAGCACGTCGAACGTTAAGGGTTACCGTTCTCAGACAATAATTGGAGTCGTCGCTTCGCTCCTCCTCCAAACAATTGTCTTCGAACGGTAAAAATCCCTTACCGTTCTCCATACTTAAATACTATTTGTTCACAACAAAAGAACGTTTTGTTTTTCTAAAACACTCTTTCCAAAAAATTAAAGACTGTATTTTTAAGGAAAATGTGATACTGAACCATCATGTGTGATATTTCGTTGTGAATAAAAAAAAGACGTTATCTCAAAATGTCAAAATTCAAAATGGCACCCATAAGAAAAACTAAAGTTGCCACGTGTTTCTCTGTTATCTCGAAAGTTATTAAAAACGGGATGCCATATTCGAAATCTCTATTAAAAAGTGTCAAAATAATGTGGTTAATTAGAAATAATAAAATTAAAATTGCGTTATTTTCAAAACGATTGTAGATATTTTAAATTTCTTACTCTTATTCAGTACTAAAATTGGCAACTGTGCCTTCAATTAACCAAATTTCGTCTAAAAACCGCCGTTTTCGTTATACAGGGTGGCAAAGTTGTAATTTTTTTCTCGTATTTTGTATTTTCTCTCTCAAGTTCTGTGATTAATGTTTCAAATTTGATACATCAATTATTTTAGCAGATTTTTTAAGAATTAAAAAAATGTGCTATTGTTTGCGTTTTGTCCGTCCGTCCATCCGCACCCACTCCGGCCTTTCGAAAATGGGGGGGGGGGGGGGTAAACACATTATATTATTAGCCCTCCGTCTCGACCTCTTATCGTGATCGGTTATATTCCCTTATACCTCAAGAACGGATTGTCGGAAGAGCGTACTCACAAAGGGTGATTGAAACGGTGCTTTGAGACCATTTTTTCGCAAAAGTAGTAAAATTCAGATATCCAATTGAAGAAAAATCGTTTGTTATTGTTGACCGTGTACGTTAATCACAGAATTAATGTACTTATGATAGTCCTTCCAGTTATAACCCGTATGACAAGAGAATACTGATACATTATTCTGGGAATGTGGAATCCCCTTTTATTGTACGCTATTTATACCAGTAGACATTGCTAAATTTATCTTTCTTTAGCGTTTTAACGTCCTACTGTTGCAAAACGTCAATGAGATATATTGAGCTGACCTTCTCAGCTTATCTTAAGATTACATGAAACAGGGGAATTAAAGTATATTTTTATTTCCGCAACTAAAATCTAAATGCATGAAAATTGAAAATGCATTGGCTATCCAACAGAAACGAATTGTTGAGCTTTACAAATTAGAAATGCATTTGTGAGACGAAGACTAGTCCATTGGAATGAAATGTCAAAAAGTGTGGAAACAAGTTCCAAAGGTCAATTCGTAAAGGTAAGTATTTAAATGATCTGCCCCTTTGGACACATACCTACAATATCAAAATCGCCATTGGCTCTTACGCCACATTCTCTAAAATCTCCTATTATTGTAAAATCGTTAAAATTACTTGAAGTAGTACGACCTGCAGATAACATACATCCTCTAGATATAGAACCACAAATGCGAAGGTCGTTTCATAATATTTAGTCCAACAATATCTTTGTGTAGTAAAAACCCTTTCGCTAGGATTCCCTCATGGGAATAAACAACTTAATCTTCGCGTATAAATAGGAGCGAACATTGCGAACATTCATCAGTACATACAACAGCATCTCATACAGAGGTTCATTGTAAAAGAAAAAAGAAACGATGGTTAAACACGTCTTCGGATTCTTCTTGGCGATTGCGGTTGTTTCGCAAACTATGGCGCAATTTTTCGGAGGTGGTGGTTTCTTACCGAGTGGAGGAATCGGTGGCATGGGCGGTTACAAGTATGGTCCGGCATGGGGATCGCTTTCAAGTAGTTACGATGGGCGAAGACTAGGTCCGGTGGATCTTGGTGGTGGTGCACACTTCAAGTTACCAAACGATGGATTTGCCGGAGCACGTGCTTCTATACAACCGGGAGTTGGCGGTACGAGCTCATTATATGGAAAGGTCAATATCTTCGATACACCTACGCATAGACTGGATGTACAAGGTCACCACGATCGTTTCTTAAACAGAGATTTGAAGCCCGTGGGACCAGCAATAAATGAAATCGGTGCAAATTATAAGCACGTAGGTGGCGCCACCGCGCACATAGGGGCTAGTAAAGTTGGTGGTGGTCCAATTCAAGGATCCCTCGGAGCTTCAGTGCCACTAGTTTCCACTCCGCAAGGTGGAATTAACCTTGGGGTGCAGGGTGTTGCGGGCCAAGGAATGAAACCACAAGGCCAAATAGGTGTTGTGGGTGAATTTAAATTTTAGTTGAAAACTTTGCCACATAATTTATTGTTAGCATAACTTATATATGTATCTATACGATATCTGTATACCTAGGTAATAAATTGTACAGTATTTAGTAGTTGTTTTGTTTATATTTCTTTTTTGAAACAAAAGAGTCATTTGAGAGTTTGTTCTAACAAAGTAAGACACATTCATATTAAAGTTCTGGTGTTAGTTTGTGCAATGGCGGATATTTTTATTTAATGATTTCTAATTCAACTGAAATTTTCAAATCTTTTGTAGAGGAATACGATCTTACGATAGTTCAATTTAGTCTACGTGTACTAACTTAACTTGTTTTATATCCTGTTTCACGATATTTAATTAATTGCTTTTGAATTGTAAATTGATTTATTTAATGGTACGATTAGTTTGTCATTTCCGTTTGTCAACGACAGCTTCTTGTTGGGTTAAGATTAGTTAACGTAAATTGAATTATTGGTTCTTATTAAGTGTTTGCAGTATTCGAGTACCCGGGTGTCGAACGTTAAAAATTTCTATCGCAATATTTACATATGTGCGGCGCTATTCACTACCCCTCTTGTTCTTTTGTGTCTGTTTTTATCTGTTACCGATAAGGCAGAAAAGCGCCCTTCTGAATTCAGACGACCGTTACGACCAGAGTTCAAAGGTAATATTTTTATTTTTGTCATTTCCTTGAAATAACGGTTGAGTACATTGGTTTTCGATACAGTATTCCAAGTTGTAATTAATATTTTTTATTTGAATAGTCGTTTAACAGTTAGCTTCATTTGTTTTAGAAGGCAACTTCGACATTTATCTCTTATTTTCCTGACTACGAGTTGATCTTTTGGGCAAATCTATTGAATTTAAATTAGTTATCGAGTAACATCCATATATATTACGGAACCTTTTGAAACCTCGATTGTGACCACAATAATATTATTGTTTATGTTCTACCCTTTCAAGTATTTTATTTCTTTCGCTTTAAGACCAGAACGAGGATCTCTTAGTCTGCCTTTTTTCGCCTTTCGGTAAGTATTCTCTTTCCTTTTTTTGAATTTGCTGAAGACTAAGTGGCGCCCACCCGGTATACTATATTTCCTTTTGCAGTTTGCTTCGTTTTGGATAGTGTACGAGAACCCCATTATTCACCCCGATCTCTATTGTAACAGTTTAGTTTATTCATATTCAAATTTCAAAAATTACCGCTTGCTAGGTTAGGTAGGATATAGGTGAGATGGCGTCACTTGTACGCGTGTTTCTTTCCTCGCGCAGAATCGCGTTATTTTTTTCATTTCCGTTTTAAAAGCCAACGAGGTTGTACTTGTTGTAGAGCGTGGCATTGTGAATTCTTCTTAAACCAGTGGGTAATATTTGCCATCATTCACGTGAAATCTCTGGCAATTTTACCTTTTCATTGGCGTTGTCGAGTAGTGTAACTCAGAAGCCGTTTTCTCCATTGCGAGGCTATATCTGGTTGAAGTTCATCGCCCTACCTACATATTCACAATTTGAGGTTGGATAATTTCCATATTTCATTGATTTAAGTATTTTTCATTACCCTCCTGACGATTTCAGGGGGTCCATGTAGTAGATGAATTCTTGTACCGGTCAATCCTTGTACAGACGAATCCTTGTATGGTATAGTTTATAGTATATCCTTGCACATTCTTGTGTGCGGAGGACATTGACCTGGCATAATTTTGGGATAGTAAATGAATTTGCATCTTGCGAATATTCCGGAGTACGAACACCTGTTGATTGCCGGCAGCTATCCGGCGTACCACCGAGTAGATAAGCGCTAACACCTAAACGATACCGGGAGCGACCAGCTGATTGTGGAATTTTCGGAAGATACGATCTTTTACACAACCTTTTTTTTATTTGCTTCAATACCGTTAATCTAGTGTAACCTTCCGACGATTTATGATTGGAGCTTTGTATTTTGTTCGCATCTAGTGTTTGAGGTCGTGGCTCTCTTCAAGAGCAACGCACCTGTATTTAACGTATGGGTAAACGAGCCGGCTACGAGTAAGCTATTTTTTTGGCCCTTCCGGCTCATATAATCGTTCCGAGCGTTGTAGCTTGGGGTTTGTTTTTGTGTTACAGAACTGGAACTTCGAAGGAGAGCTCTTTTTCGGAGAAGACAGCGTATGTGTTATTCAAGGTAAGATTTTTAATTTACTTGTACCCAGTGTTGCCTATATGAGTTGTTATTCGGGTTAACTTGATTCAATCTTTGAATCCATTGAAATCTTAACTACATTTTTGCTCGATCATTGTTGTAGGGGTCTGGTAACGTAATTATTAGGGAAGTGTTCATGAATTTATTTGGGGATTATTTTTGTCATTTAAAGTATTTGTTATTGTCGTATTGAAGATACATTTTATTTGCCGATCCTGCACCGTTTTTGCCAGGATTAATAAATCAGAATTGCTCGTAGTGAATTTATTATTTGGCTCTCTTGTGTTTTCCCAATTTCTATACAGGAGAGGTCAGAATTTGTGCAAAATTGGGTGGCGCTCAACTAATCATTTCTAGTGACTACCAAAGATCAAAAACTTATGTTATATGCCCAAACGAACAAACCGCTGTGGAAGATTCTCATCTCGAGCCCTTCTTTTAATTAAGAATCTGAGCTAGCTGGCCGTTTATGCGGCGGGGTTTGAGTTTTACAGCGCCGAACTAACCTCACGTTATACTATTTTGCCGGAGTTTACCGTGTAGTTATAGCAAAGAGTAAGTATTCTTTGGTGATAGATAATTTTGTTTCGTTTGCTCTAAGTGAACGGCTACGTCAATTTGTTTATGAAATGACGTACAACGAAACTTAGTGGAATAAACCATACCTTAATTATGGTATACTAAGTCATAAACGCGCCCATTGTAATGGCAATAATAAACATGTATGTGTCCTCTATAATTGGTAACTTATACTGCATCCGTGCATAATTAAATTAACGATCATTGTGAATGCATGATTCTAATGAAATTAAGTGTAGTAGTCACAATTTACACTAACGTTAAACATTCTTCGTCAAGCGATTCTTAGTTTAGTTTAGTGAACATTTCCGGAGGAACTCGCTGTTTCAGTTCAAGTTCAGTTCAATTTCAATTGCATTCTCAAAACCTCTAATAGGAGCTTAGGTATTTTTATTGTAAGTAAATAAAGTTAATTGACGGACACTATTTCCAAGCAGGGTTCTCATCCTTTTGGTAGAATTAATTCCTTCGTGGGATAACTAAGAACTTAATGTTACATTAGAACAACAGCAGAAAAATAAATTGCAAACGATGGGTAAACACGTCTTCGAATTAGTCTTAGCGATTTTGCTCGTTTCCCAAAGTATTGCGCAATTGTTCGGAGGTGGTGGTTTCCTACCAAACGGTGGAATGGGGGGCTACAAGTATCACCCAGTATGGAGGTCGTTGCCAGGAAATTTCGATGGACGAAACCGAGATCCGGCCAGTGTTGACAGTGGGGCGCATTTCAAATTACCAAACGAAGGATTTGCCGGAGGAAGGGTGGTTATTCAACCTGGAGTTTGCGGAATGGGCTCGTTATATGGAAAAGTCAACGTCTTTGATACACTTACGGATCGTCTAGATGTACAAGGTCATCACGACCAATACTTAAATAGAGATTTCAGACCAGTGGGAAATGCTAGGAGTCAAATAGGCGCAAATTATAAGCACGCAGGGGGCGCCACAGCGCTAATAAGTAGCAGTAAAGTTGGGGATGGTTCCATTCATGGATCCGTTGAGTATCAGTGCCACTGGTTTATACTCCACAAGTTGCGGGCGAAGGAATGAAAGCACAAGGTCAGATAGGTATTGTGGGCGAATTTAACCTTTAATTATAGTTTTTTAATCGTGACACTTAATTTATTGTTAATATAACACAAATGATATCTACAGCTACACATATAACTAAATAATAAACTGTACAATATTTAGTAATAGGTACCTACATTTAGTTTGGAAAGCACAAGAAAGATGGAGGAATAATTGAAATTACTCTTCTGTCACAATCCCCAGCTTTTGTTCTGATTGTCGTGTCTACGTCAAGTATTTTATGAAGTATTATTATATTTTTACTGTTGGTTACAATATTGATCGTATTATTCAGCTTTGTCCTTTTTTTTTACAGCAATGTTGAATTTGTATAGACAGTATACAGACAGACAGACAGATATGCAGACACAATCGACTCCTTGCAGTTCTTAATAAGCGCCCCGACGTAATGTCTTTTAGACAAAACATTGGTGTGAAAAATTGTGGTAAAAAAATAGTACAAAATTATCAAAAAATAATAGCAGCATCAGAAAGTGAATCTTGCGTTGTAGGTACTCTAACTTCATGGAGCTTTTCGAGTATACTAACTGTAACTGCAAAAATAGTATAAACTGAAGACATTTAGTTAATAATCAAACATTAAATATATTGTTATTATGCTTTACTAACAAAAAATCAGCTACTAAGGTACAATAAATAAAAAATAAATATAATTTGTACATTCGCTAGATATTATAATATCCATCATTTTTTCCCAACAACTGCTGCGATTCCGGCGTAGCCTTGAACAACCGGTAAAACTTTTTCTGCGGCCTTCAGTACCCGTTTTCCTGCTTTTTCCTAAAAATACGCAACTTAAAAGTGAAAGACGAAAAAGGAATTTATTGAATTTTACTTACAAGTTTTTTCCAACCTTTCCACCTCGCATCTGCATTGTTTACAAAAACAGACAAGAGAAACAATGCGCATACAAAAATTACGGAAATCTTCATGTCTAATTTACGAAATCCGCGATATGTGAGGAACTCGACTGGTGAAGATGCAAAGGTCGATCGGAATTTATACATCTTCGAAGTGCGTGTAGTGAACTCGGGGAAGTAACTTCCGAGTAGTTATTTTGTTGTAATGTCCATAATGCGGATGATAGTTGAAGAAAAGGATTCCCCGTTCGACGGGCGCTTCTTTAAGTTAATCTTAAATAATTAAACGCGCACGAAAATCTAATAGCTGGAAACGACACACAAAAAGAACCGAATCCAAGGACAGATTAATGGGGGGACAATTATAGATCTGATGATCTCATATTCTCATATTCATCCTTTGGTAATTATTAAAACTGTTTATGTTCGTGTCCCAATTTTGCAGTATGAGCAGTGAGTATTGGTGCAAGTTTGGTTGATTTGACGTCATGGCCCCCCCTCGGATATCTTGATGCACCAGGGCGTTGATGGTGATTGAGGTGCCATATTATCATGAAATCATTTTCTTTAATTCGATGAAAAAGTAATCGACGCAGAATTTAGAGCTCTTTTCTATGCAAATTATGTACTGAACTTTTCTCTTACCAGTCCGATTTGCCCTTTTTCATGTAAAAACTAAATTGAGACGGTTAGTGCGGCCAGGGTCGTAGCCAGATTGATTTATAAGAGCGGGTCAATAAATCTACAGAGCGGGCGGGCGAAATAATGATTTGCTGTGTCCCGCGGTAATATCACCCCCTGTAAAAACTCATTTTTCTTGGAAAATACATATCGCATATGATATTTCGTTTAACTGCTTTCATAAATAAGAAAGTTGCCATTGCGCATGCGCAAAACCAAATTTTGCAACTGGTGTTAGATTTGTCTTAGTTATGCCAAATGCCTATTTATAAAATTTCATTTAAATACCTTCATAACTAAGAAAGTTGGCATTGCGCATGCGCAAAACAAAAATTTGAAAATGCCGTTAATTTTACTTATATTCGTAGTGTTTACATATAAAGTTTCATTTAAATATCTTCATAAATAAAAAAGGTAGCATCGCACATACGTTAAACCAAATTTTTGACACTGCGCATGCACAAAACCAAAAAATATGGGTATGCACGGAATCCTTGGACCAAGCCTTTTCAAATGAGTCTTATATCGCCAAAATCGGGGCAGTGGTTTAGAAGGAGTACTTGTGACGGACAGACGGGCGAACGGACGGACGGACGGACGTCAAACTGCAGTCAATAGCGATTTTTCACTTTGAGGAAAATACGCTAAGAATATGCACATTTTCAAATGCTGTTCAGCCGTTCATTTTTCTCCTAAGAACACGTGTGCCAACTTTAATTACCTTCGGTTCAGTGGTTTGGCACAAAATGAGTGCACACAGGTGGACTGACGATCATTGAGATCTGGGTTTCTATAGAGATCCAAAACGCACACATCCTTCTCTTATACTACGGGTTCAAGTGGTAAAACTGATAACAATCTATGTATACCATTTATGCACCTACACAATAGACCTTACTCATTTCATAATAGAAAACAAACTATTTCGGAAAAGTGTTTATTACAAAAGTTTCTTTTCAATGATTGTTGCATACTCTGCTGTTTTCAAAATAAGTATACGGAGTTCGGTTAAAAACTTATCAGACCTAACCGCGTTTTTTAAATGGATTCAATTCGAAAAGAATAAAAAGAAGTGTTTAAAAAATGGTGTAAAATTTTTTTTGTTGTTGTTTTATTATAAGAATCTTTTTAATATTTTTTGAATTTCTTTGAAGCGATTGAATCTTTTTTTTTAATATCATCCCTGTTGTGCTATAGTTTTGAAGAGAATTTAGTATTTTGTCTGTTTAGATTAAAATATACAGTGTGTTGCATTTAAAAAATGAGGTTAGGTCCGATATCTTTTTTTTCTTGACCTCGTAAACTTACTTTGAAAATGGTAGATTATAAAACAATATTTGTAATAAACACATTTCGGATTACTTAATAAACAAAGAAATTATAGACTTTTATATAAAAATCAAAAAATGCCAATTGGAATTAGAAGAAGAAGAGTTTATCTCAACAAAATACATCGGAATTGCAAGGTCAATTTTAAATCATCCAATTTTAATAGGTGACATAATTCCGAATACTAAGCACCTTCCTGTTCCTCTATATTTGATCATGACGCAATATATATTAGGCAACTTTCAAGAGCGGGCAAAGTGGGTCCCAAAGAGCGGGCAGCCCGCTCTTGCCCCCCTATGGCCACGGCCCTGGGTGCGATCTATTTCACACAAAAAAAGATGGAATCTCATTCTTGCACCTACATAATTATGCCGGTACCTAGTAGCGTTATGAAAATAATTGGTTGATAAAGTTATGTCGTTTGTACAAGGTGTTCAAACAGTCAATGTAGAAAAACAAGCAAACGACACGTCCGGTTTTTCACTAACACATGACCCTACCTACTATCTTCTAAAAAACACAGGTGAGGCGATGATACTATTTAAGTAAAAACGGTTGTCAATAGCATAAATTAATTTTTCACTAAAAAAAGAACAGCTCCTTTGACTTAACCCAAATTGATCTATAAACAATTCCCAATTTTTCTCAGGAATTTGAACAAGGCAAGTTTCAACTTATTCACTAACAGTCCTTCTTTTTAATAAATGGAAGTAAAAAGGTTTTCGCCCTAAGGTGAGTAACTCAGCACATTTTTCCTCCATTTATCAGTATTTTCCAGAAGGCCATAGCTATTTGCGTTACGTATTTCTTTATCAGAAGTATCCGCGAATCAGAGTTATCTCAATAAATAAAAAAAAAAATGAACATTGCGCAGTCTGCGCATGTGCACATTAATCGTCGCGATTTTTATTGGTTGAGGTGCCAGAGCTTAAGCTACCGAACACAAAAAGAACGGACAAAATACGTTCAAAACTGTGGGAGCAGTTAAGGCCTCGGACGGACGGACGGAGGAAGTAATAGCGCCTTGTTGGGCGTTTGCGAATTACTCACCACCGACCGAATGGTCTTGGGGGAGGGCGGTAATCCCCCCATTTGCCCCTCGTGGGACCGTCGAGCGGAGGTTCTACAACAAAACTCGACCATGACGTTTGCTTAGGCCTATCGGCCACGGAATATCACGGCCCTCTTTACGAAAACCAGCCTACCTACCGTAGTAGGAGAAGTAACAACGAATATACTGTACAATAATTTATTTACGTTTATAATAAATTAACAAAACTACAACTAAAATCTGAATTCACCTTCCACACCAATCTGACCTTGTGGTTTCATGCCTTCCCCCGCAATACCTTTCACTCCAAGATTAATTCCGCCCTGTGGGGTAGAAACTAGTGGCACTGACGCTCCGAGGGATCCTTGAATGGGACCACCACCAACTTTACTAGCCCCTATGTGCGCTGTGGCGCCCCCTACGTGCTTATAATTTGCACCGATTTCATTTATCGCTGGTCCCACGGGCTTCAAATCTCTGTTCAAGAAACGATCGTGGTGACCTTGTACATCCAGTCTATGCGTAGGTGTATCGAAGATATTGACCTTTCCATATAACGAGCTCGTGCCGCCAACTCCCGGTTGTACAGAAGCCCGTGCTCCGGCAAATCCATCGTTCGGTAGCTTGAAGTGTGCACCTCCACCAACCTCCACCGGACCTAATCTTCGGCCATCGTAACTACTTGATAGTGATCCCCATGCCGGGCCATACTTGTAACCGCCCATGCCACCGATTCCACCGCTCGGCAAAAAACCACCACCTCCGAAGAATTGCGCCATACTTTGCGAAACAAGCGCAATTGCCAAAATTAACTTGAAAACTTGTTTAACCATTGTATATGTTTTCTTTCAGACTACCAGATTCTAATGTTCTGATGAATGTTACCACCTTATTTATATGCGATGGATCTGCTGTTAATTCCCGCCAGGGAATCCTTGTGAGAGGGTATTTACACTATGATAATAAAATAATTGCACTCGTAATTTTCATGAGTAACCTTTGACTTTAGCGGTTTCCTTATCAGTCTTATCTGGAGACATTTTTTGTGGAGCAGCTTTAATTGCTTGCCAATACATTTTATTATAAGGTTGGTGTTTTTGCAATCCGATGTTGAGCCCTTCCCAAGTTACCAACTTTCTTTGTGCCAAATTGAGTAGGGACCCAAATTTAACTGAAAGAGAGGAGTGTGATTTTTAAGGGACTTGTGTGTCATACTTTCCTTGAGGAAGTGCGTATTATATACATGCAATATGCTATTGAATAAATAGAATACAAACGACTAGTACCTGCTAAGAGTAAAAAAAAATACTCGTAGGCTATACCTGTAATTACCATTAATAAAACACGGAAAAACTAATTTGATACTACGTAACCATAATATCTTTGCAACATTGAAATTTTTTGACCCCCGCCAACAGATATACCTAAATAGTAAATTTT